TGCTGAACCAGTGGTGCACCTGGAACTGTGAGGAATCACAAAGCATAGATTTTCATTACACAGTTATTTAAAGATACACTGACACTGTGGAGCATCATGTATCACTTTGTCCTAAATTCAAAGATACAAGACTGCGGTTTAAACCAATTACTCTGGTATGACTTGCCTACAGAGAATTTAAAATTAAGAAACTTACAGGATAGGTTCCAGTTTATTATAGTGTTTTATCAACTATAAGTTTTGGTTCTATACCCTTCTCCCCAAATTCTTCCTAAGCTGACAAGTGAAGTTCATCTCTGCAATTACACATGTAACACTGAATTATCTGGAAACTTACCTAGCAGACTGCTACATTTTCTCTTAAAAACAAATACATGCAGATCAGGTTTAGACTAGATAAGTTGTTGGGTTTTTTTTACATTCTAAGATCATCACCCTAACCTCCTTCCAAAGGGTTTATAACCAAAATCCATCTTATTCCACTGTAATTAGTAGTTACTAATTATTTATATTGAAGGAACAAGGGCTAGGGTTTTTAAAACAATAAAAACAATAGAAGTTTGAAGCGTTTAATACAAAAGCAGTGCTTCCTAAAAAAACCTAAAAAGGCTAGAGTTCTCAGTTTGCCTGTTGACTCAAACACTGCACTCCATGTCTTTGTGTCATGATTTTGTGTCCAGTTTACCCAAAATCTGTAGTTAAGCACACAGAAGTATAGATTTTAAAGTACAACAGCCCTAAGCTGTAAGATCAATGCCTCAAAACTAGGAGAGTAAGAGTTCCTTCACCAATTTGCCCCCCAGTAATCCTTTCCCACCCCTACCTGCACCCTTGTGCTGCATACCCTGAGACAGCTCTGAGGCTGGTTTGGGCTCAAAATGCGTGGATTCAGTTTCCTAACCTGGCGAAAAAAGTTGATATTATTTTTGCTGAATTTGCTTTTTACTGTTTTAGTGAATCCAAGTTGCTTAGCAACGTGACAAGACAAGCACCACAGCCAGCCCAAAGTAAGCAACAAGAGTGCTCAGCTGGCAGCAAGAACTCTTCGGCAACAAACTATTAATTCAGCTCAAAGCCCTCTCAAAATATTGTTGTGACTCACAAGTGTTAGTTACAGCACCTTCATACATCGCAGCAAAAACCTCAGACTTTGAAGTTTCATTCCTAAGTTAACTTAGTGCTTTACTACTAATAATTTGAATAAAAATTCTGAACTGAAGCATTGAAGTTCTGAACCATCAAGCAGCAATCAAAAATAATCATAACCAGTATTCAAGGCTCCATTTTCACTTTGTTAAACAGCACACAACTCTGCAAATTCAACCAAACAGTTCTTTGCCAGGCTGCCTACCACTTTCAGGCAGATTAGTGGAAAGCCCAGGTTCAGCTGGTGGTTCTAAACAGTCCAATAAACGATTGACTTTGTTGCGAAGTTCTATCAGCTCTCGACGCAGGTATTTCACCTGATTAGATTCTAGGGGTCTTGGTTGTCCATTCACTGCAAAACAGTAATTAGATAAATTTCAGACTGTAGTAACACTTTTATATCCAGTTCAAAATAGAAAAAAAAAATTCCCAACTTTTATTTCCTTGTTGTGTCATCATCCTCTGTGGAGCTTAAAGTGACACAGTTCAGTCAACACAGACTGAACTACTGTTCCTTTAATATAATCTCAGTTCAGCATAATTCACAGAACCCAAGTGTGCAGTACATTTCTGCATTGTTTGCTCATTTCCATGAATATACCCTTAACAAGACAAAGATCATACTTGGTTGTGAAAAGCTGTCCTTTTAAAAAGTACCTTTAGAAATAAGGCAGCACACACAACACCTGCAATTCATAAATACGGTCACTGTTCAGGTTACAGGCTGCTTGCTATTCCTTGGAACTATGTGCTAATTAAAAAACAGTAGCTTGAAAATAAAGAACTATATTATACAAAAGGCCAAAAGACAAGTGTTAAAATCTATTCAACTTTAAGCAATTAATGTTAGGTTTTAGCAGTGTACTAGTAACACTGCAGGATAAGTCTTAAACTTCTCACACATCTGTGAAGAAAACTGCACAGATGCTGGAGAGTGGGAGGTGGAAAAAAAAGACATTAACCACATTATACGTATGCCAAATACTTTAAGCAATCTTACAGAGAGTATCAGTTTCCATAAGTTCAGATGTCACAAGAAACATCAAGAAAGAAAATAGGTATCGTGCATTAATCCAGTATTTTTTAACTTAGCCATTTCATTCTTCTGAGGTGACAAACTGAAAGATTTTAGTACCTTCTGATGAATCAAACCGCCTGAATTTTAATAAACATTACTAAAACAAAAAGACAAAATCTTTTATACTTACCAAACAATGTCAGCTTGAGTATCCTACTGCATTGAATTGCAAAGGAAAGATCTGAGCTATCAAAAATTGTGATAAGATCTCCATCTGAAAAGAACATGAAAAAGTTACATTGAAAGCAAAGCCTGTTAACTTCTGAGCTTCATGCTAGGGCAGAAGTGATACTTCATTACTCAAAAATACCTCTCCCTATTTGATTCTAAAGTTACTACGGAAAAAAAAAAATATTAATCTGATTTTAAAGCATCCATCAGTTTCCTTTCACCTTTCTCATTACAGAAGAAATTCTATGATAAGAGGAAAAACAAAGCCACCATAAATCCACTGAGCTCTCTCTCAGTGGAGATCAAAACTGAAAGTATGATCCTTTCACCAAGTATCGATTTTGATGAGTCATGACCACCAAAAGCTTCACAAACCTGAAAAAACTTTAATTCCAAGTGAAATTTTATTGCCTCGATGTATGACAAAAAAAGTTATTTATCACACAGTCCTTGATCTAAAAGACTGGATTTTACAATTTCATTCTGAGTTTCATTTTCTGAACTGTCCCAAACAGTCACAGTCCCCTACTGTCCCAAACTAAGTAACTTACCCATATCCCACAATGACATTCAAAGAGGAAAAACCCTCCAAACCACAATTCCCTTTCTAGGCAAGAGAAAGAGAGGTTTTTAGTTTCTATCTCAAACAAGGTCCTCATCATTCTGTGGAAGCCCTTCTTTCTTAAGCTTGCATTTGTTTAGCACCAATGACTAAGGTTTTCTTTGAAATCACCCATGTCCAACAGATTTGAACCATCACACAGAGGAAAGAGAACTTTTAATAAATATTTCAGGTTAAACTAAAAGTTTATTCTGATGGAGAAAAACAATCAAGAATTAGTACTACATAAACCAAGTTTTCAAAGTTTTATAAGAGCTTGGCTTAAGTCATACAAGTTTGTTCATCCCTTACCTTCAAACCCACTTTATCAATAAAACAAAAAAATGGTTAAGTGAGCATACAGAGGAGAAACTTACAATAGCATCAGCTTCCTGCAACAGCAAGAACTGAGCTTTCAGATAGCTGGTATTTCAGAAAAAACTGGGGGAAATACTATGTTAAGACAACATAACCACAAGAGATACAGCTTCTATTGTCTGACTCAAAGGATTTCACAAGAAATCACTTGTATTTGCCAAAATACTTGGACAATTTTGAAAAGGTGAATTTCAGGGTTTCTGTCAATAGATAAATTACGTATCAGAGCAACAGTATTAAATCTCAACAGTAGCAATGAAACCTCACCTTCATCTTTGTATTTTATTGTGACTTCATCATTGCTCAGAAGCTTTCCTCTAAACACTCTTTGCATCATAAGCACCAATTCATCATAGGTGATATCTTCGTTATGAATAGGAATTCTTCTAATATCTTCCCCAAGCTGAGCTTTGATTATCAGCTTCCCACTTAAGTCCAGCTGCCCATTCATGTTGGATTCCTTATCACCTGCAGACCTGCTAAGAACAAAACATTAAAAACATTTTAGAAAACAAAACTCTGAGTTACTTAAATGTACCTGATGACAGTTCTGATGCTTTCCATATTTGGAAGGCATTAGTGTTAGGAAGCTTTCCAGAGAACCTCTCTTGGACACAGTCCATGATGCACTAATTTCTCAAACAATAAAGTGCACAATACACTAACTGAGCTCAGCAGCAAAGACCATACAATTCAAGTCAACAGTTACCACAGTGCCTGGTGTTCAGAATTTAATCCCAAGGAATTTTTAAAAGTCAGACAGCTTTTAAATATGTGTGACATTAAAAAAAAAATATCAAACTTTTTTTTTTTTTTTTTTTAAGGTATCAGCCATAAACTGTCATGGAAAACAAGCTATAAAGGAACCAATAGTCCCTAGGACTTGCTTTTAATACACATGTATATGTTTCTCTTGGGCAAAGTGAAATTGTAGTAAATGCTCTCAGCCTTACAACATTATATGGGTTATGTTATCACCTTATTAGATTATTTTTTACATCCCCCATAATTATGATAACCAGTAAAGGGCGCTTTTTTTCCTCTCTATTCAAGAAAAACCTGTCACAACAAAATATCTTATTTCAAAGATTCTAGGTGGTAAAGTGCCTTTACAGAGGGGATCAAGTCGAATCATGGATTATTTCATAAAGAAATGAACAAAGAAATGAAGAGCTCAACATTGGGTTTATTATATCAACTATGTGAAAACATAAAAATCACAGAATCATAGAACCATTCCGGTTGGAAGAGACCCTTGGGATCACCGAGTCCTACCATCATCCCTACTCTACAAAGTTCTCCCCTAAACCATATCCACCAATACCACATCCAAACAACTCTTAAACACACCCAGGGATGTGACTCAGTCCCCTCCCGGGGCAGCCTATTCCAGTGTCTAACCACTCTTTCTGTGAAAAAAAATTTCCTAATGTCCAGTCTAACCCTCCCCTGTTGCAGCTTGAAGCCATTCCCTCTGGTTCTGTCACTTATTACCTGTGAAAAGAGACCAGCACCAACCTCTCTACAATGACCTTTCAGGTAGTTGTAGAGACCGATGAGGTCTCCCCTCAGCCTCCTCTTCCTCAAACTAAACGTTCCCAGCTCCTTCAAGCGTTCTTCATAAGATTTATTTTCTAGGCCATTCATGAGCTTCATTGCCCTCTTCTGTACTCGCTCCAGCACCTTAAGATCTCTCTTGAATTGAGGTGCCGAAAACTGGGCGCAACACTCCAGGTGTGGCCTCACCAATCACCTCTCTACTTCTGCTGGTTACACTATTTCTAAGACAAGCCAGGATGCCATTGGCTTTCTTGGCCACCTGGGCACACTGCTGGCTTATATTCAGCCCCTTCTCAGTTAGAACCCCCAGGTCCTTTTCTGCCAGACACCTTCCAGCCACACTTCCCCAAGCCTGGAGTGTTGCCTGGAGTTGTTGTGGCCCAAGTGCAGGACCCAGCACTTGGCCTTGTTGAAGCCCAGACCATTAACATCAGCCCAATGACCCAATCTATCCAAGTCTCTCTGTAGAGCCTCCCTATCCTCATGCAGATCAACACTCCCGCCTAGCTTGGTGTCATCTGCAAACTTACTGATAGTACACTCTCTGTCCTTATCAAGATCATCAATAAAGATGTTAAACAGAAACGGTCCCAACACTGAGCCCTGAGGAGCACCACTTGTGACTGGCCCCGGGTGGATTTGACTCCATTGACCACCACTCTTTGGGCCCAACTGTCCAGCCAGTGCTTGATCCAACGGATCCTATGCTCATCCAGGCCATGAGCAGCCCGTTTTTTTATGACAGTTCTATGGGGAACCATGTCAAATGTTTTCTGGAGGTCCAGATAGACAACATCCACATATTCAATATCCACAGCCTTTCCCTCATCCAACAGTCAGGTCATCAGGTTATAAAAGGAGATCAGGTTTGTCAGGCAAGACCTGCCTTTCATAAACACATGCTGACTGGGCGTGATCCCCTGGTTATCCTCTATATGGCTTCTAATGACACTCAAGATGATCTGCTCCATGACCTTCCCTGGTCATTGATGGTTCATCTCCAGAAAGCAAGATTAAAAATTTTTCCTTTTTTGAAATTCTGACTAAGATGTTTTAACCAAGACTTGAGATTTTAAAAGCCACTCAGAACCACAAATTTATTACACAGTATACATAGTCAGAATAGTCAGTTACTCCCAGTGCTTTAAGAGGCTACAAAAAAGGAAGTGCAACAAAGCCATCTTGAGTCCAAATAGCACACAGCATATACTTCAGAGTTGTATCTTTAACCCATTATACAAGACAATGTAAAAATTACCACTTTGTATGAAGCACCTCTCTTATTAAAAAAAAAACCAAACAAAGGCCTTATGTATGAAAGAAAAAAGGAAACCACCACAGAGGAATAAATAAAATTAAAAAAATCTAAGTAGCTAGTCAAACGTCCCCTTCTTTCTTCACTGTTTTGGACAGGGCCAAAACAATAGATGTGGTATGAGGAGCAATTAAAGAAGCAATTATTTTAACATCTGAAGAACAAAGCATGGAGATCTTAAAGGTTGGAAGCCCTACACATCGAAGTTGATGCTTCCAAAGCCATAAGCAGGCAACCATGCAATTCATTCCCTCGTGCAAAAAGAATTCTTGGTAGAATATGCAGATATTTATCTCTTACCTCCAAGGACTTTATAACACAGTGCTTTATGAGAAAACTGAATTTTGCTTTGGTCAGTCTATTTTTAAGGTACTACATTGAAACTTCTTTCTCTCCTACCAGAGAACAAGACACTCAGCTCAAGCCTTGAATACATCATACCTTGATGCACCTATATATATTTACCTCTACTGTTTCAATGGCAATGTTTTATATTAAAAATATGTAGTATGATGCTATCTACAGATTGCAATTCAACTTCTGGGATTTATTTATTTTTTTTCATTAACTTAGTACAAAGAAAACATTTAATGCAAAGCCCTTTGTTAAGCACAATGGTATAAAAAAATATAATAAAGACAAGCAGCTACAGAATAAAACTCATTTCCCTAATCAGGGAAGGTAGCAGGAGGTACATGGTTTAACTGCAGAGAAAAGGGATCTGCAATTAACACAGCCAGATTGCTGCTGAGACACCATGACAAAAAAATGGAAGTTTATAATATTGTTTATGCTTGCTAACACATTATTCATGTTTTGCAACAAAGGAGCCTTGACTGTATGCACATCAACTCAGTCTAATTAACACCCTTTACGTTTGTTGTAAGAGCACAGTAAAGTTGCAGAAGTTGTTTGTTGTTGGTTGGGTTGTTTTTTTTTTTAAGCATTAAAAAAATAAAATAACATCCATCCAGGCATTTTCTTTCACCTCCTTTCCAAAAATATGTATTTATCTTTACCTTGTCTGTCTTAATGATGATGGATTATTGAACAGTTTTCCCACCTCACTTCAGGACAGAGTCAGGATAAGCCGCCATGCACTACCAGTGGCTGAAAACAGGATGCTGCATCAGAAAAAAAAGAAAAAGAAAAAATACATTCATTTGCAGTCACACTTCATTAGAATTATACAGTTCACAACATTCTTTCACTTTAGAGCATCTTAAAAACATATGCAAACAAAAAAAGGCACTGTTTTGTCCATAATATAACTAAGATTTACACTTTTGAGTATTGCAGACTTTGAAGTTCAACTAAAACAGATCATAAACAAGGCTTTTAATTTCATAACAAAAGAATATTTTTTTTCTAATGTTCTAACCGCATGTAGAAATTCCTAAGAGTAAAGCATTTCTTTTCAGGACAGTGATCTTAACCAACAGTGTCAAAAATACCCATTTCTACAGCCTCCACCTTAAATTCCCAGGTTAAGTTAAAGGAAATAAACTTTGATTGATTTAGCAGTAATATTAGGATGGACTACCAAGAGAAAAGTAGTAGTAATGCCACTTTCTCACAGGAAGAGCCAAGAAAGTGGGCAAGAAGGAAATGCAGTCAGAAATACACCAACACTTGAAACTATTATTTGCCCTCAATTCAGTTTAAGGTTATGGTTTTTCTGTCAGAAAGCTTATGTGGTGAGCTGGCTGAGGTTTATGCAGTCCACCTGTTTATTAGGTAAGTGCTTAATGCCTAGAGCTACAAGACAATAATTTAGCATACAGGCCAATCCAACAGAGAACAAAATTCTGCCCCTCCCTCCCACCTGACAGGTATACCCTACTTGGCACTTTTCCACTTGTGTCTCTCTTGCACACGTGGTGAACCTCAATCATCCATTATATGATTTTCAGATGACTTGCTGCTAACCAGAGAGAATGACAGAATGATAGGGGTTGGAAAGGACCTCTGGAGAAAAAGTAGGTTCCCCTCACCCACTTGAAATTAGGCTTCCCAGCTCTCATATTTCAACACAACTGTAAGTAAACTGGAACATACAGGCATGAGAAATACATGACCGAAGCAGAGAGCAAACAAACCCCAGCAATTGGACAAAGTCCCTCCCTGATTCTCATAGGCTGGCAGCTGCTCCCCTCATCCTGGGTAGGAAATGTCCACTTTTAAGAAGGGCTGTACTCACTCGTAACAGGGAGAGGGTAAGACTGTTGTGACATGCAAAGCAGGTGAACAGGAAGAGACTATTTTTCTGATTCCTCACTCACATACCACAAAATGAGTAATACATGAAGATGGTGCCCCATTCACCCCAATCTTGCTACAGCTCCAGGTAAAATTTACTGCAATGGACAAATACGGGATACAGATAATGCATCTAGGAGTGGTTTAACTTGAAGAATCCATTTAGCTACTACCTCGTTTCTTAAACATTAGAGCTGGGCACTGGATTTTGCTTCTTCAGCATTACAACACAAGCTACTTAGAAACCAACAAGAATAAGAATCAACCTCATCTGTACTTCAAGATTTACGTTTTGGTGGACAAACCTGAGCTCTTGTGACCTTTCAACAGACAGAATGCATAATTTGCATATTTGCGCAAGGAAACCAGCTCCTGTAATGTAATTACAGAACTACAATGTCTTATGTACCAACACTACTCACAGAAATCCACTGTGGGTCTATCAGCAATTATTAAAAGGTAACAAGATAGCCTTTAAATGCACTTTTTTATCCAACTGTTCCCCATCCTGCTTGAAGGTGTCCAGATTTTAAGAGACAGATGGTAAACACTGTAACTGCTTCCAATTGTTACAGAAAACTTTGTTAAATGTTCCAATTATTTAATTACACAGCATTCAAGCTTTTCTTTCCTCACTGTGATGGAGCTGAATGAATGACTCTCTTGCGAAAGTTTTTCAAAAACAATATACAAAGTACACACTAATGAGCTTTTTAACAGAACCAATCACAGTGCCTATTTTCTTGAGGGGAAAAAAACAACCAAACGTTAATATCTTGCTGTTTAAGATTGTTTTTCATATGAATCATAATGGCCTGCTTCTAACCTCCCTGGTGTACCACACACATTTTGGAGGTAGAGATTCTTTTTTTTTTTTCCTCTCCTCTTGGCCCTCTTTCTATTCTCAGCATGTACCAATTTAAGTGGTGCATGTGGACAGTGACTCTTCAATCTAAGCCACTCACTTCACATCCTTCCTAAAGCGTCCATGTCATAACCATGGTGGATTTCACTACCCTTTTCTGCACTGCAGCAGAGAAAAGCCACCTTGCCTAAGCCCAAACCCAAACCCTACTTGATAGAGCTCTAAGTTTTCTCAAGACACCTGAAGGGCGAGGAGCAGAAAGAAGAGCCCTCTTTATTTTTCCCCAGTCCCGAGAAGGGCAGGCCCGGCCCAATGGGGAGCAGAAATCACAGCCACTCCGTGCTGGGCAACGAGGAGTCCGCAGTTGCTCCGGCTCCCAAGAGGAAAGTGACCAAGGGAACACCCCCCTCGCGGAGGCAGAGAGGGGAGGCCTGTGCCTCGCTCACCCCCGATCCCGCAGGCCGGAGAGCCCGGGGCCGCCCCC